TTGCTTCCCCGGGCAGTGAATTCGCAGTGTGATTTGGAAACAGAAACTTGGTTTTTGTGACGTTGGAGCTAAAATGTGAAATACTTTGCCTCTGACGACCTCGCAGCCGAGGAAAGGGCGAGGCCCGTGGGTTCTAGGAGCCTTTGACCGACAGCCTGGGTACCGGAGCACTGGGCGGGGTCTGGACCTCAGCTGCATGGAGACCGTTTGAAAGCAGGCAGCGTGCTAGGGCCGAAGGAACACCAAGTATGGAATCGGTTGTCCTTTAAAACTCGTTATGTCCCATAATACTCCTAACCAAACTCTTGACATCAAGATTCCTCTTTTCCAACCAATACCTCCTTATTTCTACCAACTTATTGACTCCCCTGCAAAGCCAAGTTTGCCTGGCCCTCGGCTCTGTCTCTGTGTCCCCCTCCCCCATGCTCCAGACTCGCCCTCACGGTAACCGTGACCCTGCGAACACACCTGCCGCAGCTGCACCTGGCTGGAGCGGAACCGGTGACATTTTTAGTTGTGTGACTTTCTCAGATACGTACTTCACGTTGCGTTCTGCATCTCGGGCCATGGACAACCTTTTCAGAGCAAACGTAGACAGGAGAAAGGGGAAGAGAGAGGAGCACTCGGATCAACACTCACCGTCCTGTTCAAACGCTGGCCCTGCGCCTGTGTTTGCCCTGCTTCCCTGTCCCTCCTCCCCCACCTGCCCTCTGCTCGTCCGTCTGTGCCTGGTGTCCCTTTGTGTGGCCTGGTTACATTTTACTAGAATGTAAATTCCGTAAGAGCAGGGGCGGTGTTTGCTCTGTCCCCACTGGGTTCTAATGGACAAGACCCTGGTTCCCTCGGGACAACAACATATTCAGTTGACTACTGAGCAACATCAGTCTCCTACCTTTTCAGTGAAATGGAAGCGGAAGTCACACCTTGGAACTCCTCGGAAAGCCCTTTGTAAGGGGGTAAACTCCTTCAGCTTTGTCCTCTTGCCCTCGCTTGCCCTCGTTCTCCTGTCTGAAAGACAGATGCGGTCGCTGACGATGGACCAGCCACCCTAGGATCATGGCGTGAGCCACGTGCCCCGGATGCCAGGACCAGGAGTGAGACTCAGTCTTGGTCCTTGACGTTCGCTGCCCGTGGCTGACCCAGACTTGGCCTGTGGACCCTGAGCACCCGCCTTGGCTAGGCCCCCGCGAGAGACGTCTGCCCCGTGGATCTGAAGCGAGGGGAGGAGTGGACGCCGACTCTGCGGAAGGTCTGTCACTTTCCCACCCTGCTGTGACGTGTCCTCCAACACAGGGCTGGCCCGTCCTCTCTCCTGGGTGAGAGTCACCACCATAATGAGCCACTGGTACCGTGGGGAGGTCACTTCCCTCAGACGTTGTTAGGTCACTCAGGACGAAAAGTTGGGAGACTCTGCCTGAGGAAGGCCCGTGACGGACGGACCCCACGGAAGCCGCGGGGGAGCTGCTCCACACCCAGGTGTTACCGCACAGGTGGGAGGGGTGTGCCCGCGCCTCTGAGGCCCACCAGAGAGGCGCCAGAGGGTGCTCCGAACTGTCACGGGACCTCGGGGGTCTGATAACAGAACCTTAACCTTCCAGGGCACCCTAGTGGCCATCCAACAGGACGTCTCTCCTAAGGCAGAGCTTGACCTCCCTCACATGGTGAGGAGGTGCCTTTGGCCTTGCCTGACCACTTCCAGGGACTGGGAGCCGACGCGTTCATGAGGCCACCCATTGAGTTGTTGAAAAACAAAGAAACCGGAGAGTCCTTCTTTACAATGAACTTAATATGGCTGCACCTGATATCGTTACACGTCAGTTATATAGCCCTTTATATGTTCATTTAAAGAGATTTCACGCAATCACTTTTGATCTGACAGTCATAAAACTTACGTGAATCACTCAAAGTGGTACTATTATCCTCACGTGAGCATGTGTGAACAAGTGCAGAGAAGCTACCCACACTTGTGCAAGGTTTTACAATTCTAGGGGGGAATGGCTGGATTTGAACTCAGGACTATTGAGCTCAAAGTCAAGCTCTATTTCAAGTTGATATCGTTTAGTCGTTCAGTATTGAGGGACTGAACCCCCGCTGTCTACCGGTCACCAGGATAGATGCTGAAGCTTGAACGGTGAACAGGGCACATCCCCGGCCCTCCTAGAGTTATAGTATTTTGCTGTGTATAATATGCACTTTTTTTGCCCAAGTATTTGAGGGAAAAATAAGGATGTGCACCATACAAGGGTAGTACCTGAAATACCTTGTATCTGTTCTTGTGTGTTGTAATTATTTGTGACATAAAATTCCTTGTGCTATAATATGTCCAGAAATAAATGCTAAAATTCTATGATAACACAAAAGAACAAGTATCTAAATATAAATATGTAAAAACTAAATTAAAAAATTAAAACAAAAGATTGTTTTCTTGAAAGTTTGGGCCAAAAACCTGGGTGTGCATTATATGCAGCAAGATATGGTAGGAACTGCTTACCAGGGAACCCTACTTTTAGCCCTTGGTATAAACTGAACCAGTGAACCCAGAGCAACAAGGATCTCTCTTCCTCTGCGCATCAGTCATTCAGTTATCACGTGGCTTCAAAGGCTTCTCTTATCCAAACAAATATCCTGTGTCTTCAGCAGCTCCGGCGGAGTCAGGGGTTTTGGAGCTGTGGAACATCCTCATCGCTTTCTTCCAGACACCCTCTCTGCCTTTTTCAGCCTCTCTCCTAAGGAATGGCCTGCGGAATCAGACACCTGCTCCGGATCTGGTCCTGGAGCCTGGGGCCCAGGCCCAGGCCCAGGGCCTTGGGCACTTAGAGGTTGAACTTCACGAGAGCAGCTGGAACTTCTTGCCTCTCTTTTGGCTTCTTGCGGCAATGTTCGCTCGTGTTCACCGTGTGGATGGCCAACACCGCCACACGGTCTTCCCACGGATCACGGTCAGGTTGACGCTCCTCTGTACTGTGCTCCAGTATCCGACCCTCACGGCGAGATGCCAGATGTCACGCATCCCTGTTAAATAGCACTGCATCCTCTGCTCTGGCTTTACATTCTCAGAGCTCTTTCTCGCCTTGAGTCTGTCGCCTCTCAGGTTTTATTCCCCAGTCATGTGTCATGAATAAATTAGATAATCGTCTCTTCCATGTTGCTGACAATAGTGTTGACCTGCACGATTTCAAAGCGAGAGCCCAGTAGCACTCTTTCCGGGAGGATTAGTCCCGATCTGTCAGCCCTCCACCTGTGGCTCTGCTCACTCACTCATTCATTCCACAAATGGTAACGAACGCCTTCTTCAGGGCTACATGCCGAGGTGAAAAAATATGAAGCCACCGGAGTGTGTGGAGAGGCCAGAGGAGAGAGTGCCATCGATCGACTGAGTCCTGGAGAACCAGGCAGAGCCGCAAACGGCGTCCAACTCAAAGATACAGCGAGGGGCTTTATCAGATATTTTTACGGAAACCACCATGAACTGGTTCAACACATCAGGCATTCTGCCGATGTCCCAAATGGAACGAGATCCAAACTTGGGACCGAAGTTACTGCCCAGGACTTGCGCTTCATACTCTCCTTCCGGATCCTGTGGGTCTCTGGTCTTTGCACCTCAGAGAAATGCATCAACCCCCCAATCCCCTTTAGGTCCCTCCTGAAAGGGGGCAGGCAGCGTAAATGTCTCTCATCATCTTCTCTGGAGACATCCACACCGTCAAGGACCTCCAGGTTTCCTGTTTACCAGCCAACTTTGCCCGAAGCCACATTTCTGATCCCGTGACACTGGGTAGGTGACGCCAAACTCCCGCATCATCCCAGCCTTACAACAGCTTCTCTCCCCCTCCCCCGCCCTCAGTGGGAGCCTCACTCTCCGAGAGGGGGTGCAGGAGACCCCCCTCCAGCCCCGGCCACAGAGAGAAACAGCTGTAGATTCCAAGCCTTGGTCCGCCCCCCCCCCTTCCCGGCCTGTGCCACTGTGGTGCGGTTCACTGCACACACCCTGGGAGTCTCCGAGCGCTGGGATTTTCTTATAGAACCCGGCACCTTCCTAATGCAGTAGTTACATAGTGTCGCTAGCTCTGCCAGTTTCTTTCCCAGGTTCTAACTTACAATGTTTCTCTTTGCACTCTTTTTTTTTTTGTACCCACTAAGTGCAAAAGCACGTGCCAGATACTGGGAAGGCGGAGCCAGGTACGGCGATGAAGCAGAACTGGCCCCAGCCAGAAAAGGAACTGCCAGTCCAACGGGGAAGGTGGACCTGCACGTGTGGGACCCAAGGAAGTGGCTGTTCCGGTTTCTTTTTGATGGGCAAGCAGTTTGCAAGGACTTGAGCTGGGTGAGTGCAAGGCCACGTCCGAACAGCTTTAAAAACATCATTTCAGCGTGGGGGTGGGGGGCGTGAGGAAGGACAAAGGGCATAAAAATGGTTATCACCACCTCCCATATGACTAGAGCAAATTATTTTCTAGGTTTTCACCGTGTGTGTGGTCAAGCCTCATAGTCCAAGAGATTTCCCACTTCCGATGAATTCCATACATTCGTATTAATTGTAAGTCTGCAAAAGATTCCCTAGTACCCAGCCACTGAACCAAAGATTTGGTGACTTTTCTGAAATAAAAGAGAATAAAAGTTATTTCTCTTGTTTTGGTAGCATTTCTTTACTTTCCACTCAAGACAATCATTTCAGAAAGTTGATGTTTGTGGTAAAAAAAAAAGGATAAGTATTATTAGGAATAAAAAGTTTAAACTAAGAAGTTGTGCTACCTTTTAAAAACTCATCCGAAAGATAGAAGCTTTCCCTTTTTCTTATAAGAGGAACCTTAGTCTCTGTTTTAAAATCGCAAATGTTATCTTCTTCCTGGAGCAAAATCAATTTGTAGGGCACAGTGGTTATTTAGCCACCTCAGAAACTGAACTGTAATTCACTATTTTCTCTCTCTCTTCCTCTCTCTCTCCTTCTCCCTCCCCCACTGGATTCAGAAAGCCTCATTCCCTGTTGAGCCTGGCTTTCTAGCTCCGCTGCAAAGATGTCCTTTTGGAGTGAAAATCAGGAAAAGCTTTAGTTCTCTGGCCCCAGAAGTGTCCTTTCTCTGGGGGAGAGAGTCCCCTTCAGCAGCACTGGCAGCTGAAGGGGTTAAGGCTGGACTGGCTGGCTGCCAGCGAAACTTTTTTTTAACTTTTTTTCTGGCTCTGCGGGTTTCCCCTTGAAGGGATTTCCCTCCTCCTCTGCTGAGAGACCTTCATAAGGGGCAGACTTTCCAGGTCAGTCCTCACTGAGCCTGGTGCTTTCGGAGCTGAAGACTTTTCCCCCCCGGCACGGCACGACATTCTGCTGGCACAGAAGGAAGCGTTTGGGGACCACGACTTTCTCAGCAGGGCAGCAATTTAAAATGCCTGGGAAGATGGCCGTGATCTTTGGGGTCTCAAACATTCTTTGGATGCTGCTGGCGGCTTGTAAGTTCTCCCTGGTCTGTTGCTAACGTTTGCCTCCCATGTCAGCCCTGGTTTTGGCTTCCTTCGCTTTTGTCACTTTTGCGCTGGGGCGCTGACACTGTGGGGACACTTTGCTGAGCCTGCCTTGTGATGTGCTACTTATTGAGTGTTGCTACTTATCGTTATCTGGTCACAGTTGGTGCTGCAAATGGATGTTGTTTTGTAGGCTTTTTCCCCCAGTGAGTATTTGGATTCTGTCTCTGGTAAGAGCTATCGCTTCAGTTTCCTGTGCTTCATAATGAGATCAAACTTAGCCAAACAACAAAACACGCCCGGTAAATGGGCTCCGTGCTCGGGACCCAGAGTTCACTAAGCGAAGATCATTTCAGCACCTTTTTTGGAGGGGCGCCAAGACCTTTTGGCTGCCTTGCAGTTAGCTGGAAGCGGTTCAGGCAGGAGTTTGGCCAGAGGATAGCATGGACGTTACCCTGGAAGAGAGGAGAGTAGAACACGGAATGGACCGGTGTGAGTCTGCTTGTCTCTTTCTGCCTTCACAGCTCAAGCGTTTAAAATTGAGATCGTCCCCGAATCCCAAATCGTGGCGCAGATCAACGCCTCCGTCTCGCTGACCTGCAGGACGACGGGCTGCGAGGCCCCCTCTTTCTCCTGGAGGACGCAGATCGACAGCCCGCTGAACGGGAAGGTGAGGAGCGAGGGGAGCACGTCCGTGCTGACCATGGACCCCGTGAGCTTCGGGAACGAGCACTCATACCTGTGCACTGCCACCTGCGGGGCCCGGAAAGAAGAGAAAGCGGTCAAGGTGCTCATCTACTGTGAGTACTTTAGAGAACCTTTGGTTTTCTTTCCAGTTTGCTTTAATGCAAGTTTCTGTAAGGGATGTTTTTGAAAGAGAAAACTGTCCAAATCTAGATTCTTGGCCAGAGGACCTATCGCATTGAGAAAGCCGTAGAAATGGCTGAGTCCAGCGCTGGGCCGGGACCCCAACTCTGGCTGCTGTCCCCAACTCTGCCACAGACGGGGTGACCACGTGGTCAGGCTCAGCTGCTCTGGGCTTCGCTTTTCTGAGCCCTGAAATGAAGATCTGTGCGGCTCTTTTTATCTTAATTTCCCCAGATTTCTGCTGGGTTACATCCTTCCATGTTTACTCAGCCATGCATCTAAATGACTTATGAACCCAGTCCTTCTGGGGTTCCCCACTTCCTTAGTCTCGTGCAGCTCGGGGCTCAGAACCAGTCGAAGCAGGAGATATGTCACCTAGTGGTAGGCGAGTGGACAAACGTTTCCGCCTGAGACTAAGAAACGTACCTGCACGCGCCACTCACGTGATTCTGGTGTAGATCAGTGTCAGAGTTTGTTGTGGTTTCTGTCGCCCTTAACCCTTAATGTTCACTGGCTCCGCTTCCAGGGAATTGGTATAAGAAATTAGATTTGCCTTATATACGTGAATGAATACCCCTGGATTCCCATTCTACCAAAACACACCCCCAATCTATTCTCAATGCAGCAAATCAAGTCAGCAGGAGGAGCGAAAGACTGATGGAAATAAGTCACGTGCCTTTGCCTACGGAGGGCCACTCTTCCTAAACCAAAACACAACAAAGCAAAAAACAAACTGCAACGCCTTACGCTCGCCTCTCCACGGAGACCCCCGTGGGTTGCCTTCTAACCACATTGCTCCCCCTCTGCTGAGGCGCGGCCTCGCCCAGCAGCTCCGGTCCCCCAACAAGCCCTGTGTGCTGCTCAGGCTTCCCGAGAAACCGTGCCCAGTGGGCTGCTTTCAATTATGCTGGCTGCACACGCGCAGCTGGCGTGTGCACGGCCCCTGGAAAGGCCCCCTTATGTAAATACAGGGGAAAGTAGCAAGTTCTTCTGTTCCCTGGCAGCAGACTATGAGGACTATAGTCACAGTTCCCATGGAAAAGGAGGGACGGAAGTTAAGGGCGGAAAGATGGAAAAACTGTGTTTCTTTCACATAAAAGGTTTGCAGCTTCTTTGCCTTCACACACGAGTCCCAAAGAGCTGAAGGCTGAGAGAGAGAGAGAGAGGGAGGGAGAGAGAGGAAGGCCTCTTTGGCTTTAACGACCTGGCTTGAAGTTTTCCTTTAAGTCTGCCTGCCTCTCATTACGTCTGAGAGCCCTGCCTTCTTTCCACATTCAGTTGTGATGTTCTTTAGAGCTGAGGCCTTCCAGTTACTGTTACACAAGCTTGAATCCAGCCCAGGTGCCGCCGTCACGAAGGTCTGCGAGGAAAAGGTGGCCGACTGAAGCGGGGCCTGCCCTTGGCACGGAGCGGTTCAAGAGCACGCTGGTTAGGATGCTGAGTCAGGCCAGAAGTGAGAGACTGCACAGGCGGCCCTTCCGGGCAGAGCGGTGCCTGGCTGAGGCCCCCTTGGCGATAGCCATTATTTACTGTGGCTCTCTTCATTTCTGGGCTTCATTTCTTCATTTCTTAGCTTACGTTGCCCGATCGCTGGTCTCGGCAAGGACGTTTTGAGCGTCCAGTATCTCATCTGAGAAATGGAAACGTATCTGTCCTAAAACAGGAGAACGTGACACAATACAATGTAAACCTGTGGTCACAATGCAGGAGAATAGAAACCCTGAGTTTAAGTCCCGGACTTAACCCTTACCAGCCGTGTGACTTTGGGCTGGCTGTGCAGAGAACACCGGGCCTGGTTTCACAGCTATGTGTTGGTAGTCTCATTGGTCTCTCTCTCTCTCAGGGTTATTGCGAGGGTAACACGAAACCATTAGTGTTCAAAGAATGGTACAGGGATGGGCACATATAAGTATTTAATAGACATTCATGTCTTCTCCCTCCTTGTACTCAAGTAGCATGCACACCTCAGTACATGCAGGATCAGAACTGAAGGCTTTGCTGAAAGGCGACCAGTGCGTGAACCTGTCCAAACCGCGAAAGGCCCTTTGGGCAATGCATCCAGGCCGAGTTAACGGAATTGTGTGATTAGGTTGGCACTGCAGGAAGTCGCCGAAGGACCCAACACACCGTGAGCAACGAGCCTACTCACATGTGTCCCCTTGACCTTTTTGCAGCTTTCCCCAGGGACCCGGAGATTCAGCTGAGTGGCCCCCCGGAGGTTGGAAAGCCTGTCACGGCCACATGTTTGGTGCGTGACGTTTACCCGTTCGAAAGGCTGGAGATAGATTTGCTGAAGGGCGGGCGTCTCTTGAAAAATCAGGAGTTTCTGGAGTCTGCAGAGACGAAGTCCCTGGAAACTAAGGGCTTGGAAGTGACCTTCACTCCTACCAATGAAGATATGGGAGAAGCTCTTGTCTGCCAAGCTCAACTACACATGAATGAAGTCGACGAGGGCCTCCGAAAGAGGGCGGTGACGAAAACCCTGCAAGTCCACGGTGAGTGTGTGTGTGACGTGGTCTGGCCTGCGTGGGGGTTAGTTAGCCTTGGATGCACACAGCAACGCGTTTAGTGGCTAAGTCACAAAGCAACTGGTTCTACTCTGTTTCTGTTCCCTGAGAACAGCACGTTTGTCAACAATGTATTTCAGCAGAAAGAGCACTGGGTTTGGGTTACTGAGACTGGAGCTTGAAGTTTGGCTCCACTGACCATGGGAACCTGGGTCACTCAGTGTCTCTGTTTCCCAGTTACCCAGGGAAATGATAATACCACCTGAAGGGGTAGCAGGAAGGGGGCTCAGAATGGTACCATTTGTAATCGTGTCTTGTGAACTCTTACGCCACGCCCTGAAATGTCGAGGTCTTGCCAGGAGGGCACTTGCTCTGTGCGTGAGTGTGAGTACACGTCCACACGTGCCCTGGGTGTGAGAGCGGAGGTGACTGGGATGGCTCCACATTCCCGGGGGCGGCCGGGGTTTCGAGGTGGTCTCCTGGCCCCAGAATCGGGTAGAGAGGGCCTCCCCAGCCTGGGCTCAGACGCGGGGGTTCTGCTCTGGACACCACGGTGAAAGGGAATGCTGTCCATCAGAGCAAGTTCGAGAGAGAATGAGGTGGAAAGGCTCGTTACTGTTTTGAAAACAAATATTCAAGCCAGGGGATGTTTTTCCTAGAGAATACAAAACCTGGGAAAAAGAGCTATCATGACGTCTTTGAAAGACAGTCCTGTGGAAAAGAGATTTAATTTATTCTGTAATGGCGGAGGACAGAACCGAGACTGCCATGTAGAAGGTAGTTACCAAGAGGAAGATTTCAGCTCAGCAGGGGCAAGATGTTCTTATAATTAGAGCTGCCCCCAAATCCCACGGGCTGTTCGGCCAGGTGGCGGCAGGCCTCGCCCTCCGAGTGCGGCAGGTGACTCAGATGGCCCTGGGCAAGGATGCCTAGATGGAACTCTGACCTCACCTGGGAGACTGAACCACGCCCAGGGGCTTTGTTACTTCCTGTGTGTGGCCAACTGAAAACACCAAACAGCCCCAAAAATTCACGCAGTCAAATTAGTTAGGAACCGGATGGCCCGCTTTTCCGGACACCCAGATTCTTCCTACCAGCCTGATGCAGTAGGCCTGTCGACCCTGAGGGCGCGAAGCCAGTCCCTGTTGGGCCAAGGTGGCGCTCAGCAGCTGCTCACTCTCGGCCTGTCCTTTCAGTCTCTCCCCGGAACACCGTGGTCTCCGTGAGCCCCTCCACGAGGCTGCAGGAGGGGGGCTCCGTGACCATGACCTGCTCCAGCGACGGCCTGCCCGCTCCGCAGATCACCTGGAGCAAGGCGTCGGACAGTGGGCAGCCGCAGCTCCTTTCTGCAAACGGAACGCTCACTCTCATTGCCATGAGGGTGGAAGATTCCGGCGTGTACGTGTGCGAGGGCGTTAACCCGGTTGGGAGAGACAGAGAGGAGGTGGAATTGATCGTTCAGGGTAAGCAGAACGTGCGAAAGGAACGGTGCCGTCGTGGGGTCTCCAGCCAGAGTCGGTCCCCGGACCTTTCCGGATGGGCCGCCTCACTGGCACCTACTGTGGCAGGATTAGCTGCTTGTCTTGCACTTGTCACTGTCACGTGCCAGGCACATGGTGGTGCCCAGTAAGGGCAGGAGGCATCAGCTATAAACACGGGCAACTCCCGTTTTCCGTATCTGAGAACAGGAGGCTTCAACTTGGGGGGTTGAGAAAATGAAACTCAAAGTCACCGTCAGGAGGTGAATGTGGCTGGGTGTTAGGTTGGCACGGCGAGGACACCAGGAGAGATGCCACCCTGACGGGAGCAGGCAGAGCTCGTCCGGGACAGCCCCACCCCATCGTCCCCTGCGTCCCATTTCCGGGGGTGGGAGACACAGCTGGGGGGAGGGAGGGTCGTTTTGCACTTTGCAGGGCAGGATCCTAACAACTTTAAGTAAGTGGTAAAGAGAGAACCTAATTTTCAAAAGACTTCCTTACCTAGTAAGTACTCCCACAGGGCCCACAAATTCTCATGGTAATAGACGCAGCCACTGCAAAAAAAAAAAATTATCTGAGACTTGTTCGCAGGCAGGAAGTGGTTCTGTTTTACAGTTCCCCCTTCTCGCACTAGCGTATGAAGGATTCAGAACAATGTGTCTCTTTCTGAACCTGACACTCTAGCAACTGACTGAGCTAATCTGAGGTCAGCCTTCTTTGGAGGATGCTACAGTGTCACAGTCAGACAAACCCAACCGAGGAAGGTGACTTCTGGAGCAGGAGAGATTATTTAGGTGTTGAGATTTCTTCCTTCCACCCCCAGCCTGCTACTGACACAGACAACGTCAGTGATTTGCTGGGCAGTCAGTCCCCTCTGTCATTTGTGAAATCATCCAACTCTTCTAGTTTCTTCAGGGGAGCAGAGTGGGGGGTGTTGGGTTCCCCCCCCCCAGATGGTGGTGTGCGTGCCCAGCAGGGATACCACTGGTGGCCAAAGAGCTCTTCTGGACACAGCAGTCTTAGGAGTCTAGACTCCACCTCAGTTTCCAGCCCCCGAATTGACCATGAAGTATTTTTCTTTTGCACCAAATGAAGTTTGGAGATGGCGTATATCTCACTTTACTGCCCAGACGTTGGCTTTGCTTTCTCAGTGTGACGGCCAATGGTATAACTTCACATCACTGGCACAAAAGTCTCAGCACTGGTGCATTATGGGCATTGCCTCTGATCGGAAGACATCTTTCTGCAGCTTTTTTTCAGACCTCTGAGGCTTGTCTGCACATGAGGCTGACCAGGTCTCGCTGTCCAAGCAGCTGAGAAGCTGGGATCCAGAGTCAGACGCTTCAAGCCTTAATTTTCTCACTTGTGAACTGGATAAAAATTATTTAGCGTGTCTGAGCTTAAATTTCCCCAAGAAAGAGAAGGAGGAGGAGGAGGAAGAGGAGGAGGAGGAGGAGGAGAACGAACAGCAACAGGTTATGAAGTTGCAGTGAGAATTAAATGAGATAATATGTGTCAAATGGTTTACACGGTGCCCAAGACACTGGAACCTCTGAAATTATTTGTGTTGTTCCCCCTATGGCAGGGATTCGATAAACTGTATTTGAGCAGAAACTGGATTATTGTGAGGAAAAGATGCCACCCTCTCTCTTGACAAATTTTCAGCCCCGTTCATTCTGTTCCAGGAATAAATCCACAGACTATTGTAGGTTCATTCTTGTAAGACATGGTCTCGTCCCTGGTGGTCCCAAGGGGAAAAGGAGCAACTTGTTCTTGGCACAGATGTGCCATCAAGAAAATCAGGGGGAAAAAAAAAGACCTTATGTTGGAATAGGCCGAAAGAAAAAAATCATCTTACCTTCCTTCTGCCCTCTCCTTTCCTCCCCCAGAAAAACCGTTCACCGTCGAGATCTCCCCTGGGCCCCAGGTTGCCGCTGGGATTGGTGACTCGGTCGTGCTGACGTGCAGCGCCACGGGCTGTGCGGCCCCCTCTTTCTCCTGGAGAACCCAGATAGACAGCCCTCTGCACGGGCAGGTGAGGCGTGAGGGGGCCGTGTCCACGCTGACCCTGAGCCCCGTGAGTTTTGAGCACGAACGTTCTTACCTGTGCACGGTGACCTGTGGACGCAGAAAACAGGAGAAGACTATTAAGGTGGACCTCTACTGTGAGTACTTTTCAGAACTGTTTGCTGGGGTTTTTTCCCCAATTCCATTGGAAGTAACATAATACAAGTCTGATGCAGAATGAGATCTGTGTGTTTAGAAAGGGGACTCAGCATTGGGAATGGTTCCTAGTTCCCCAAAGCAGAATTTTCAATGCGACTTACCTGGCCTAAATCTCTGGTCCCTGTTCCATACCCACACAGCATCAGCAGTCCTTGGGTATTGTCACCACCCTTGTCACGGTGCGTGCAGGAACACACCAGGACACTCACTGCCTCCTACCTCCTCTCCGTGTGTGTCAGGGGCCGTGTTCAAGGTGATAGAGACCAGGGAGAGGGGGCTCAGTGCCCATTCGGATAACTGGGGAGCAATGACAGCTGCTCAGTATTGGAACTCCGGGTGCACCCCGAGCCTACTGTTTTGAAGGCATATTTGGGAAGCTGATGGGCAGGATGGGAAAATGAGGCAGCGAGGAGCAGGCGAAAGCCAGGCAGGAAGGCAGGGAGTCAGAGCAGACAGTCAGGGGCAGCTGCCCAGGCGACAGGCAGAGGCGGGAGGCAGCCTCAGGTGCTAATACTGGCTGAACGGCACACGTATGAATTACTACGCTGTTTCCTGCCGTTCTGGTCGCCTTGATGAGAACCCTTGACAACCTCCGATCTCTATGAACTTGACATGGCTGGGGTTCCTCGGTTTTCACGAATGAGGGACAGAGTATGCGAAGTGACTCTGCCTTGCCTAATTCCACAGAATCCAAAAGAACACACCGCAGAGATTTTCTGCCAGGAAACCCGCCCAGGCTTGTGTTCCCGTCAGTACTTGTGTTCCCAAGTTAGAGGCTGACTTTAAAGGGCGGGTTTCACTGCGTTTCCATGTGACCCAGGGTCCAGAGTCTGCTGATGCAGGCACATTTCCAGCAGAAACGAGAAGCAGCAGCGAGGTCTTGTTGCAATACATAAATATTTGAGGATGTATCACTTTAACGACACTTTACTTCCGGGGGGAAAATTTTTAGCATTGTTCTTGCTCTGGGTAACTACTTCAGCCTTGTTTTTATTGCCTCCTGTAAGATGTAGAATGCATGTTACTCAGAAACAAAACTTCTTAAGTTTTTTTCTTAACTACCAAATATTGTCTGAGGAATATTTAAAACTGGCTGCCTAAACTTGGCCATTGGAAATGTCTAAATTGAGAACGACCTCACTGTGGGTCTTCAGTGATACCCAGTGGCCTGCTGGCCTCTGTGAAACCAAGTGTGGGCTCTGAGCTCAGAGAAATACGGGTTCTTATCTCAACTCAGTGACTTCCTCCGTACAAGGCCTAACGGAAGTCTCTTTGCCTCTACAAGGTTTGTATGTTTCCCTCGCTGTAAAACCAGGTGTCTACAAGTTTCCTAGCTATAAAATAAGTTACGCAATAGCCACATTATCAGGCTGTTTTGAAGACTGAGCTATATTAAGACACCGGCACACAGTAAATCCTCAATGCAACATGGCAAACTTTTAAAACATTTAAAATCAATGGTTACCAAATGAGATGGTGGAAGCTCATGAGCCCTTCAAAAAGGCAACCCATGGCTGTCAGGGACATGACGTCTCTAAGAAGTGGAAAAAGTATATTTATTACTTGAGTACTTCATTTACTGTGGTCTTGTCTCCAGTGTTATATGCATTTGATATCATAAATCTTTATGCTTAAGGTCATTAGTTATATATTGGTGATCGTTCTATCCCAAGGGATTTAACACTGCCTTTGAGACCTCTGCACTCAGCAGAGGTCGGCCCAGTGTCTCTGTTGAGTGTCACGTCCAAAGATTGCTTCTGCTTGCCGTCCGCAGCCTTCCCAAGAGACCCAGAGATCGAGGTGAGCAGCGGGCCAGTGGACGGAGAGCCAGCCACCGTGAAGTGCAAGGTCCCTGACGTGTACCCTCTGGACCGGCTGCAGATTCAGCTACTGAAGGGGGAGAGGCTCATGGAGAGTAAAAACTTCTTGGAGGCCGTGGAGAAGGACTCCCTTGAGACCGGGAGTGTGGAAATGACCTTCATCCCCACCGTGGACGATACTGGCAAAGAGCTTGTTTGTCAGGCTAAGTTACAAATTGACGAAATGGAGTTTGAACCCAAACGAAGGCAGAGCACACAGACGCTTCACGTTCAGAGTGAGTATGATGAATCCGCAACTTAACGGGGACTCCTTTTTTTAAAATTTGTTTTTATTTTTACTGTTTAAGCTGTGACGGTTGCTCCTACTTTTTCTCCCCTTCCCCACCTTCACCCAGCCCCCCCAGTCAATCCCCACACTGTGGTCTGTGTCCAGGGGTTGGTGCCTGAAAGTTCTACCATTAATCCCTTCACCATCTTTCTTTACCTCATTGGCCAGGCAATAGTTAACGTGAGGTTACGAGTTAAAACCTCTGTGACAAAATGAAACTGAAAAGAAGTTCCGAAATAATGATTATTGTAACCAAGCACCCCCAACACCCAGAACAATAGCTGTCTATCAGCACACAGTCCTGTGAGGGGGCAGTTTTGGAGAGGGTCATCTGGTCAGTGTGAAACGTGATGAACTCGCTCGCGCAAGCTGGTTGGCAGGTCGGGTGCGGGGTGGCTGGTGCCAGGTGGCCTCACTTCCATGTCTGGGGTCTTTTCTGGGAGGTCTGGGCCTCCCCTTCTCTGTGTGCTGTGTCCCCCTCGAGGAAGGTGGCCGGGGTTTAGTCACCAGAGCGCAGTGTTTCAAGGGGGCAACGATGGACGCTGCTGCTTAAGCCCTGGGCTGGACAGTCCCAACAGTGTCAACAGCCTCTGTGGTGTGTGGGTCACAGGGCGTCACAGGGCAGCCTGGATGCAAGGGGCAGAGACACAGACTCTGCCTTTTCACAGGAGATTCAAGTAATTTGTGGCCACGTGGAATGTGCCATCAGTGTTGATAATGCACCGTCACCGGTCACCCCCTGTTGGGTAGCGAGCCTTTCTGCAGAACTTATTTCCGATAGAAAATGCCACGATGCGTCCATTTTTCCTGTCCGTGGCTCTGCATTTGCTACAGTGCAGGGGGCTGAAGCCTCCTTCAGTGCGATCATCAAGGCTTATAAACTTTTCTAAGCCATCCATTGCATTGCCCCGTTTTGCAACATTATTAAAATGCCGTGGAACTCAGGGCATATGGGGTCAAACTAACAAGGGTCCCTACCTTTTCAGTTGCCCCCAGGAATATGACCGTCTTGGTCAGCCCCTCCTCCACCCTGGAGGAGGGTCAGTCTGTGAACTTGACCTGCTCTGGCCACGGCCTTCCAACTCCAAAAATCCAGTGGAGCAGGCAGCTCCGTGATGGGAGCCTGCAGGTTCTCTCTGAGAACACGACTCTCACCTTGACCTCTACGAGAAGGGGAGATTCTGGCATTTACGTGTGCGAAGGGAGTAACCAGGCTGGGACAAGCAGAAAGGAAGTTGAACTAATTATCCAAGGTGAGCAGACTGTGATTAATGAGCTTACGGCTGGTATTATTTTGGTTGTGTTACCGGATTTGTACAAAGTCCTCTTTTTAAATATTTTTTTAATGTTTAAGTTGCAGTTGAGGCCTAATGTTCTATTAGTTATATTAGGTGTGCAATCCTGCAATTAGACATTTCTGCACCTTACAAAGCGGTCGCCCCGATTAAGTGTAGAGCCCACCCGACACCACAGGCAGATAATACAGTGTTACCGTGTCCCCTGTGCTGTACCTCCATCCCCACGACTGTTCTGGAACCGCCGGTCTGTGCCCCTGAATCCCTTCACCCTTTCACCAGGGCCCCAGCCGCCCTCCCACCCGGCAACCATCCAAACGTTCTCCGCATCTGTTCTGCTTGTTCGTCTTTTTGCTTTGTTTTTTGATCCTACGTACAAGTGAAATCATATGGCCTTTGTCTCTCTCTGTCCGACTTCCGTCACTCAGCCCAATGCCCCTCGGGCCCTCCGAGCTGCTGTAGACAGCAGGATGGTGTTCTGTTTGTGGCCGACTCCTGGTCCGCTGCATGTGCGCACCACTTCCTCTTCCCCCACCTACTGATGGACGCCCAGGGGGGTTCCGGGTCTTGGCCATTGTAAACCGTGCTGCCATGAACATATGGGTGTCTGTGTCTTTTCCATGCAGTGTTTTGGGTTTCTTTGGTTCGGTGCCCAGAAAGGGAGTGGCCAGGCCCTTCTTTGTCTCTTGTTTTAAATTCGATTTTGCCCGGCGTGTGTGCTGCTACCCCAGCTTTTTGTTTGTTTCCATTTGTATAAAAAACCTTTTTCTATCCCATTGCATTGGGTTGGTGTGTGCTTTCAACCTGAGGTGAGTCTCTGGGGAAAGTAGATGTGAGGTTATTGTTTTGTCATTTAGTCACCATATGTCTTTTAATTGGAGCATTTAACCCTTTAGCATTTAAAATAATTGTTGACAGGAATGTATTTATTGCTATGTTATTATTCATATTTTTTATCCTTTTCTCCCCCTTCTTCTTAAAGAAGACCTTTTAACATCTCTTGTACTACTGGTTTGGTGGTGATGAACTCCTTTAGCTTCTTCTTGTCTGGGAAGCTCTTTATCTGTGCTTCAATTCTAAATGACAGCTTTGCTGGGCAGAGTAATTGGTTGTAGGTCCTTGCTTTTCATCACTTTGAATATTTCATGCCACTCCCTTCTGGCCTGCAAAGTTCCCGTTGAGAAGTCAGCTGATAGTCATAAGAGAGCTCCCTTGTGGGTTACAAACTGCTAAGAGCCACCCCCCAAAAGTGAGTATAAGCAGCCTCCGGGACCACTTCAAGTGCACTGACATTCGCATCATAGGGATGCCAGCAGAGAAGAGAGAGAGCAGGACACTGGAAATCTATTTGAAAAAAAGAATGACGGAAAACTTCTCTAACCTGGCTAAGGAAATGGATATAAACATCTAGGAAGTGCAGACAGTCCCAAACAAGATGATTACCAAAGTCCACTTTGGAAACAAAATTTTTACTTAAAAAAATACATATATATATATATATATATATATTTACTTTTATATGTTATAAATATAAATATAAATCTCATATCATCTAAATCTCATATATATAAATCTCTATATCATATATCTCTATCTCTATCTCTATCTATCTCCAGTCACCCTCAGGAGACAATATGGTGTTGAATTATAACTCAGAAGAGGTATTTTTGTATTTGAAAATTACTTAGGGTTAAAGTGACCTTACCTGGCTGAATTGGACTCTCAGTGGTTCTCTCACAAGGTGCCTGAAGCCTAGTATTTGCTCAGAAGCCCAAGAGGCACTTAAGCCTTTTGTAAATGCTGAGGTTAAGAGTAGCAGTGACCGTGTCCTCTGGTTCATTTTGGTAGCAGAGAAACACCAGACTCGTACCCAGAGCCTCTCTCCAGCTGGACAGCCAAGACTGAGGACAAAAAAGGCTGAATCCATAGGCAATTTTAGGCAAAGCCATGAAGTGATTAAAATCTGGAGTTTTTCCCTATAACTTTCCCTTTTGAGGTTCAGAGCCCTTTTTTTCACTGGGCTCTCCTGCTCCTTGGCACTGTTTCCTGTCTTACTCCTTGGTGCTATTTCCACTAAGGTATTAGTGACTTTCTTGTTACTACCTCGTCTCAATGATAATTTGTATTTTAAGGGGAGAACCTTAGAAGGGCAATGTACAACCCTAAAGAAAGCCTTTAGGATGGATGTTATAATACTGTCACTCCGGCGGAGGAGAGACTCTCAAATCAAGTCAGAGAATAGATAAACTTACAGGGCAACTCAGAGGGTGCCAGAGCACCTCTGTCCACAGGTTAGGCCGTACTGGGGAGGCTGTGTATCAGGCACCCATTCCCACGCCTGGCTTGGAGTAAAGGGCAGTCGTGGTTGTTAGGAGTGGGAATAAAGCCACCTCAGCACAGCTGAGTTTCGTGACCTGAGAAAACCCAGCCCATAAAAAGCCTTTGTCCTTCAGGGAAGGGCAAACCATGCTGGTTGCATGAAAGAGTTCCTTTCCAAATTGGACTTCTATCGGTGCTTACTAAACATCTGTCTTTTGGCTCGGCTGGGTAAAAGGTTATTTTAGGAGATACGCAAGAAGCATAGGAAATGGCCTCTTATATTAAAAACATGATCCCTTACAACATCCAGTCCATTCTTGGCATCTTTCTGCACCACCCTACTATACACTTCATGCGAACAATAACCACAAATAGCTCCTTGATATCTACTGTTGCCGCGATTATGTTAATAAGACATTGGTTTACATTTCACCCAATCAGAGGTGCCTTTCAAATTCTCTTTCCAGTCACTGCACCAGACATGCAACTTAGAGCTTCTCCTTCTGAGAGGGTCCAGGAAGGAGACACTGTCACTATCTACTGTACATGTGGAAATTACCCTAAAACATGGATAATCCTGAAGAAGAAGGCGGAGACAGGTGACACCGTGCTAAAGTCCATAGAAGGTGCCTATATCATCCACAAGGCCCAGTTAGAGGATGCGGGAGTCTACGAATGCGAATCTAGAAGCGAGCTTGGCTGGCAGTTCAGAAGTATAACACTTGACGTGAAAGGTTAGACTTTGGGTTTTGTTTCTGTTCTTCATCATTTTCAATAATAGGTCAGGACTTTGGGGGACTGGGAAGAATTTCCAGGATTAGATGAACAAGTTGGCAAAAATGGAGCTGAATTCGATGATGGTGGTTCTCTGTCTCTCACCCCCCTCCTTTTTCTCGCTCTCTCTTTTTTGAGAAATCAGTACAGATTTTTATTGCCAAAACAAGTGAGGGATCCGAGTATAACAGAAGACACAGATTATGGTTATTTCTTAATGTTTCCTAAAATAATAATGCCCGGCTGCTCTCGCCTGTGGGGCTTGGCCAAGAAGTGAGTGCTGAGCTCCCATCTGCTTTTTGCAAAGGGGACAATTTGTCATTGGCCTCTGAGGCCTTACATCTCCCGAATGTTTCAACATATTTTCAAAACCTGTCCCTGTGGGTTACAAGAAAACTAAGAAGTAGGATTGGTGCATGGGAGAAGGAGGGTCTCTGCCAGGCCAGTTTCCTTCCTGACAGGAGAGAACCCTGCCCCTGAACACAGGGTCACTGCGCATCTCCTGGATTGGTGCTTTTCAGGATAATAATTGGGAGTGGCCATCTCCATGTAGAACATAAAAGAATCTTTAGACTACAGAATGGCCTCCCTCAAAATCCCAGCCCCTTGTCCATTCTACCCTCTTCTGATGGAGGGGGGCAATGGTCTCAGCAGAGAAACTCCAGGGACCCCTTACTCTCCGAACCCCTCTGTGAAGGACAACAGTAAGACCTGCCTTTTCTGACCAGCCCCCTGCGCCTTGTGAGCTCCTGGGCTCCCACCGTGGGCTGGAAGACAGGCTCGCAGTGCTTGGGACGACACACAAATGCAGCCCGCCTCTCGGCCCCTGGCGTGGGGCTGTAAGACTTAGCAGCCAGTCGTCAGTGTAAAGAGTCTGAACCCAGGCTGCAAAGCAGGTAACATTTTATGCACCCGGCCCAAACTGTGGGGATTGCAAGTCTCACCTTGTGTTTCTGTCTTCTCAGTATGTCCTCAAAACAGGGCAATATCAATACGCCCACCTAGACATGTTAAAGGAGGGGACAATGTCATGGTTACATGTAAAACTTTTAGCCATCTGCCCGCAGTGCTTGTCCTGAAAAGAGTGGATCTGGCCACTGGAGTTACTCTGTGTCCGGACAGTAGGGCCTTGACCTTGTCACTTGGCACGACATGGGGGTGTATGCAACCCCTGTGGGCGACAAGTCTGGATGGACGGAGGTCTCAGTCGGGAAATCGGGCGCCTGACGTTTCTGTAATTCTGCTCAGAGCTAACAATTCTCTTTAAAGACATAGCAAAGCTTCTCCACTACCCAATTTTTCCTCTCACACACCGTTGTCTTTTCTAACTGCTTTATTGAGTTAGGAACTTACACTTTTGCCATTTCCACTTATTGCTCAAAGCATATGGGGAAGTCAGCTGGCAATCCAGTCCCCCACCCAAGACTTACTACAGTTTGAAATAACTACAAATGAATGGAGACAAGACTCTGATAGTTCACCCGGGGAGTTCGAACTACTTTTCCTTTGCATTTAGCTGAGTTTTAAAATGAGCTCTGTCTGGTTTTGACCTGAATGTGGTCCAATGACAGACAGCGTTGTGAGCCTTTAGGATGTTCAGTGTTTATACAGTGAATCGAAAGTTGTGTTTGAACATTGCTCTGGAAGCCGACTCTGTAGCAAATGTGTGTTTTGCTGCAGATGCTTGAGGGGAAAATGAAGGGGAAAGATAGTATTTATTTAATTTAAAGAAAACAATGGGTGCAGAAACCCCTGCCCTGTACATCATCGACATTGCCGCTCAGCCGCAGTTACGACCAAGGACACCCTGTTCCAACGAGACCCTCCCTCTTTGACCAGCTCGCTGCACTCCAGCGAGGGCAAGTGGAAGATACCTAGGAGATGGCTGTTATGTTTAGGGTGAAGGGCTTTTAACTTTAATGATCTGAAAAGTTGACTTCCCAGCGGGACCCCAGTGGGTGGTCTCCAGTGGCGAGAATCTTCCAGAGGGAAGGTGGGGATCCTCAAATTCAGACACCCACTTTTCACCTGAAGACACGCAGCACTTGAGAGGCCACACAGACATGAGTACGAACAGAGAGGGGTCCCCGGGAAACACAGTACTGCCTCCTTCGGCGGGTCCCACGAAGTGAAGATGTTAAATACTACCGTATCTGTCGGGTGAGGTTTAGTAGATTAGAAAGAGTACTGATGTTAGTTTGTGCATACTAGTCCCTTCTGGACCCAGCTGACAACCAGATGACAAAAATAAGATGTAGAAAGAAAAAGTATGCCACTGTTAAAAAATACACACACACACACACACACACACACACACACATTGGGTGCCAACTAATCCAAGCAGTGAGCCAGGTACCCTGCGATTCAGTGGTGGACCAAAACCCCAAATAGGTAACATCCGGTCAGCAGGAGGAGACCAGATTTAATAGATAAGCATACCAACGAATGTTTAATTACGTGCTGTGATAAGAGCTACCGAGGGCCGGTGGGTTATAAAAGAATGTGTAGGCTGGGGGAGATGCAGGTGAGGGAAGGCTTCTTTGAGTAACATTTACGCCAAAATACGATCCTATCCCAAAACTTCCCTTTATCAAGAGATGATATAAAGGGTGAAGAGGAATATTAATGGTGGGATGCCCTCCTTCAGAGATACAAAACATAAGCTTCCCGTGTATCTCTGAGGAAGTTCTTGGTAGGAATCCCTTTGCTTACTGTCACATACATGAGGTCTGACTTTGCGATCATGCTCCGGATGTGGCCAGGATTTTAGTGGACAGCTGGTTGGTCAAGGCAGTCACAGTCCTGGTTCTTTAGTAAATGTCCCGGTGTCCTGCGGTGAACACACCTCTCCAAGGCTCCAGCTGGTGAATGAGCCCTAAAACGTTGCACCCTTCCTTCCGCTCTACAGGTGCACCTGAACCTATTGGTGTCCGGGTCTGTGGAAGTCTGCATATCTTCCTGACCCCGCAGGGCCATGGCCATGACCCTCAGGTCATCGGCTGGTCCAGATGAATGTGCGTTTGGGCTCCCCTTGGCCCTTTCCACTGCTTTGTTCCGCTTCTCTTTCGAGGACGAGTTGCACTGTGAAAGCATGTCAATATTACTGGTAAGCAGTTTCTTTGTGTGCCAGACATTAATCGCACCATTTTGTCATTTTCCAGGAAGAGAAAGGGATTACTTTTCCCCTGGATTTCTCATGCTCTATTGCGCCTCCTCCCTTCTCATCCCTGCCATCGGCACGATTGTTTACTTCGCCAGGAGAGCCAACATGAAGGGCTCCTACAGCCTTGTAGATGCACAGAAATCCAAAGTGTAGCGAATGCTTGAAATGTTCCCCCAGAACCACTATTTATCGGTCCAAATCCTTCCTCCTGCTCCGTGATGAAAACCCGAGTGGAGCGCCCAGGCCTCCGGGGATGTGGTAGGAACTCTTGCAAAGAACCAGGTGCGGATGCTCTTGGCTGGGAGCAAGAGCCAACAGGAGACTCTCTGCCGGGAAAGCAGGCACTGCCATGGAGACGCGGCGACTGCCGTGGGCCCCTGATGTGTATATACGGCAACGTGATCTGTACATTTGTAAAATAAAATTACGCCATAGCAAGATTGCTCGGAATAGCAGCACCTGCCACGAGAGCTCCAAATAACTAAACAGTGTTGCCTGGACTGATGGTTCTAACATAACGCAACTCAGAAAACTTTAACGTTAACAGTGACTGGTGGCTTACCTCTTGTCTCATCTTTTTATATTTCGTTTCCTGTAACAAACTTGATTACTATAAAGTTCACGGACAACAGCTTCAGACTGGTAAACACACCAGGGGTTTATATTTTTTTATAGGCAGATGATGAACCAACAGGGCGCTGGGGTGACTTTCAGGTACGAGACTCTTGGACCTACGGTGTGATGGTTGACTGGGCTTCTCCGGATGGTACGGACGTGGTACGGAGACGTGTGGCGGTGCTGTTTGTCCACCACACTCTTGGGTGATTTTCCCTATGTGGCCTAAGAGCGTGACTCCTTCGGACCCCCCCTTTGTAAATGGCTAGTCTTTTTGTATAGTAAAGCGATCGTTGCTGCACTTGTGAGAGTCGTGTTTATTTATTGTCCACTGCTTGCTTTCACCACGTTGTGGCTCTTTTTGAAATTCCTGCGGTCCAAGGAGGAAGAGTTCACACCCATAGACATGATAGGTGATGCTCAGAGAGTGCGGACCTCAGACCGCTTTTATCCGAATCCTCGGGGGAAACCTGACAAAAATTCGGGTCTCTTGGGGCCACCTTAACCCATCGAATTGAAATATCTGGTTTTGTGTCCTTGGAATCTATAATTTAAAGAATTGAAAATATAGCATATGCAAAAGCATGAACCTAGATAAACACACATATGTTAAGAGGCAATTAAAGATCACCGGGTTCAGACCACCAAGAGCGAAGCCAGAGCGCTGATGTTCCTCAGAGTTGCTGGTTGCCTGCCCCTCAGCAGCAACCAGTCTAGGACTGTGTATTCGCCATTGCCTGGCTTTTTTTGGAGACTTTATGCCTACATAGGTAGTCCTAACTAAAGCATTATTCGGTTTTGCCAGGCTTTGCATTTTATATAAACATAATCAAGTAGTTAATTTGCCTTTGACGTTATTCTTTCAGTCATAATTATGTTTTTGCATAATTCACCCATGTTGTTGTATGTAGCTATAGGTCATTCATTTTTCATCAGCCTACAGTATTTATTACTCAGTATTACAGTATAGTATTAAAAGATTTTGCCACAATTTATTTATCTGTTCTACTGCTGATGAATAGAATATCCAGTTTTTTCTATTATGAGCAATGCTTCTATAAGCATTATTTTACATGGTCCTGGCTAACATTGACTGATATTTTTAAAAACTGTTTACAAAAAGGTACATACTATATGATTTCATTTCTATATAGCTCGAAGCGCGCGCACACACACACACACTTTAACACACACCCTAGTGTTAAAGTGGGGATAACAGGTGACTTCCGGGGCAGTGGGGCACCGACTAGGATGGAGCTTTCTAGAATGTTTTAGGGTTTCTACTTTTGTTCCGTTGCTTGATCTGGGCGGGGGTCCTGCTAGTAAAATTTACATTAAAAAAGAAGATTCTTGAAAATCAAAGGTCTAGAGAGAAGAAGGGCCTGGGGTGGGAGCCCTGGGAAGAGGAGGAGAGGAACGGGTGACCTCGCTCATCCTGTGCCGTGTCGTCTGTCCTGGGCTAACAGGAAAAGTCCCCCCAGAACCAAGAGCCGGACTCCAGGAGTTCAGTGGCGGTGTGGGGTCAGAAACAGTGGATCACGCCTCCCTAGGGACAGGGAGGTCCCCCCCTTCCTCCTCTTCCTGATCTTCGTCCCAAGAACTTTCAGAGGGAGGAGCAGAGCGAGATGCAAGATGGGCGAAGGAAGATGAGCAAGCCATGCTCCAGCCTCAGGGGCCCGGGAAGAGGGGTTTGTTACCTGACTCTGCTGGTCTCGCACGTGGGTGTGGCGGGTGCTTCCAGCCGTTTGGTGTTACAGTGCAGGCGCCCCTCAGGTAGACACACCTCGTGTTGTCTATAAATCTGAAAACTCACTCATCCACTCGCCTACTATTCAGTGGGAAGGAAACAAATGGCTGACTTGGGGAGTTTCAACAGAAGCACTTTCAGGATAGGAGTGAGCTTCCATTTGTCTCAGAATAGACTTCCTAGCATCATTTTCCTAGAAATGGGTTCAAGCCCCGCTGTGGACACCCAGAAGTGTCTGTTCTCAGCTGCTGGCGCACTTGTTGTGTTAATGAGACGGGCGAGTTTGCTGTCTCCTTCTCTGAGACCGTGGCGGTCACACTGCCTCTCGTGAACAGGTCAGAAGCTTTCATGACAGTCCCCCTGTTATAACCATTGCCACGATCTTTCCTGCCCTGGGTAAATGATGCCTGAAAAGTATCAAATAGAACTCAAGATTGTTTACAAATAAAGGAAAGTTGTACCCGCCCACCAAAACTTCTCGATGAATGAATGCAGATTCAAATAATGGCCTAACACAGAAAATTAGTCTCCTTCTCCTTCTTCTCCTCCTTCTTCTTTATCTGCTTTCCTTACTGAATCCCCAGAAATGACTCTTCTGCTTGGCTCATGACAGATTTTGGGAAAATATTTATTCCAATGGAAGTGCCCATTAAAGCACCGGGGAAGGTAACAGTTGGGCTCAATTGTGCAGGAGAAAGCTTCCGTTTTCTTGTCCCTAAAATTCAGCTTCTCCCAGTAACCTTCCAGTCAACTCCCCTCCCTGCTCTCCAGCACAGCGTTTCTTTGAAAATGTACACATGCCTTAGGTAATTCTCTTGTGCTTATTTAAGAGGCTCTCCCTTGTGTTTTAGCCAGACGAAGGGCTAGGAGTCTTCTTTTTTGTCCCTTGCTCATGAACTTGAACGGAGCTTGAGAAACAAATTAAACATCTAAGTGAATTATTTTTTTAAATATATTTTATTGATTATGCCATTACAGTTGTCCTATTTCCCCCCTTCATTCCCTTCCACCCTGCACACCCCTCCCCCACCATTCCCCCCTTTAGTTTATGACCACGTGTCTCAAGTTCTTTAGATTCTATATTTCCCCTACTATTCTTGCCCTCCCCCTATCTATTTTCTACCTACCATCTATGCTTATTTTCTGTACCTTCTCCCCCCTTCTTCTTCTCCCACTCCCCTGTTGCTAACCCTCCATGTGATCTTCATTTCTATGGTTCTACTCCTGATCTAGCTGTCCTCTTAGTTTGCTTTTGTTTTAGGTGTGGCTGTTACTAACTGTGAGTTTGCTGTCCTTTCACTGTTCATCTTTTTTATCTTCTTTTTCTTAGGTAAGTCCCTTTAACATTTCATATAATAAGGGCTTGGTGATGATGAACTCCTTGAACTTGATCTTATCTGAGAAGCACTTTATCTGCCCTTCCATTCTAAATGAAAGCTTTGCTGGATAGAGCAATCTTGGATGTAGGTCTTCAGATTTCATGACTTGGAATACTTCTTTCCAGCCCCTTCTTATAGGCAAGAAGGGGCTGGAAAGAAGTATTCCAAGCTAAGTGAATTCTAATACTAGGAAGTAGTTTCTGCAAGGATTCCTTCATAGCCACGCCCCCCTGCCGAGAGGGCAGGGCCGTGGCTGCTGTCTTTTGAAGTGCCTTTTATTTTACGAGAAGTGAACATTTTACTTCTTTAAAGTGATGCATGCCGTGGCTTTGAGGATTTCATTACCGTTGAAGAACATGGTTTCTCTCCAAAGGGACTCCTCAGGAAGCTTTGCTTGAAGAGTTCCTGAACCGAGTGGAATCAGATGTCAGGGCTTGTAGTGGAGGACAGTGCTGTTTAGGAACAGAATGCCGTTGGTTTTAGTTCTGTGTTCACTGGAGGGGCTCTTGAAGGCGTTGGGAAGCAAAAAAAACAAAAATGAAAAAAAAAGAGTTGATCCAGTGATTGAAAAAGCAACTTTCAGTCTTGGAAAAAAAGAATAACAAAATAAACCAAACAGAAACAGACTCCTGGGCACTTAGAACAGACCAGCAGCCGTCCGAGGGCACAGGGGAGGGTGGGTGCTGGTGACAAAGGTGAAGGGGTTAAGTGACAACAGTGAGACCTCTGTGACTACTAGAGAGAAAGGGGGTGGGGGTGGTGGAAGGGGGTAGCGAGGGATGAACAGCGGTGGAAGGAGACGTGACTTGGGGCGGTGAGCACACAATACTACATACAGGTGATGTATTATGGAATTGTACCCCTGAAACCTATATAATGTTATTAACCAGTGTCACCCTGATACATTCAATAAAAAAGAATAAGATGACACCGACTTCGGGGGCAAAGAGAACACAGTCCGTCACCTTCTATATTAAACTGTATTGGGCAGGACTTCAACCAACTTGTTCAAGGGAAAGGGTTCAGTCCATGGGAACTGGTATCAAAAGTCACAGTTATAATCAAGGCTGTCGCTTCTGACTTTCTTTAATCCAACTTGCATGCAATTAAAACCCATTCCATTACCCGGATGGTGAATGCCCTCAGGCCGAATACCGACGTGGCATTGAACAGAGGAGGTTGTGTGCATGGTGAAAACGAACACCACTGCTCTGGCCCCAGGCCCCGTGGGGCGTGTGGAAATTCCGGAGCGCTCACGCGAGGCTCACTCGAAGCAGCAGCGCACTCAGGGAGCTGCGGTCCGCTGCAGTGCCTGTCACCGTCTGGCCGAGATCCGTGGGCATTTCCGCATCACCATGAAAACCACTCCGCTCCCACGCAGGACACCGCACAAACAAGTTCACGTCCCCTAGTGACAGCCTCACGAGGGCCTGCTTCTCCTTCCTGGTCTGAGTTCCTCTTCCTCAGGCAGCCTGCTCATCTCCCGGCTGACCCCGAAGGTCACACGCCGGCCACCCTCTGGCCACTCGGTGTCCTGGCAGTATTCCCCAGAGCCTTGACTGAGACTTGAGTGTTGGGGAGGATTCTCGGCTCTGCACCATCTCCTCACCTGTTCTGGAACCCTGGCCTACCATTCAGGCACTTCCTGTCCTCAGCGTCCGATCTCTACTAGCTTTTATAACAGTCTAATCTCTTCCATCTGGGGAAAACAATCAAGTACAATCATTTCTCCGTCCCACACTCCCTACTAGTCACAGCTCCATTTCGTGTTTCTTTTCACAGCGAGATTCTAGAAGAGATAAGCACAGACGTCCCCGCTTCCCCATCATGGTGCAGGAAACTCCTGCCTTGCTTCTGAACCTGCTCCAACCGAAGGCAGCGGCCACCCCTCCCCGAGTCCGGCTGGTCCCAGGCCTCCCCCACTCGCCCATCTGTTGTTTGTGGAGACAGAGAGAACCCAGGCGAGAAAGAAAGAATCGCCCTCTGTTTTCGATTTCCAGCTGGGCTCGTTTGGATCCGTGGGATGGCCACGGTTCTAGAAGGCAGACTGTGCAGAGAAGAAAGCCCTTTCCTGCACCCACGTGCCCCTCACATAGCAGCCGTGTAGAGACCTGGTGTGTAAACACTAGTGGGAGAAGGCGGAGGAGGCTGGATGAGCCCGTGACACATGGACAG